CGGCTGGTGCCGGCTGCTCTCCAAGGATGCTGTCTATGGGGACAGATGTGGCCCAGGGGCCACAGTGGGACTATTGGGGATGCTACATATTTTGGGAATGATGTTTGAGGTGGTAAAAAAGCAGGCAGGAAAGGGAATGGGTGTGAAGGAGCAAGTCCTGGTGGGGCTTGGGGTGGGTCTGTGCCGTGTCCCAGGTCATCCCATCTTCGTGGGGTGTGTCTGTGCTGTGGGATGAGGGAGGCACTGGCTGTGGGGTGGAGCTGTGCTGTGTCCCAGGCCATCCTGCCTGTGTGGGGTAGCTGTGTCTCAAGTGATCCCATGTCCCAGGCCACCCTGTGTCCCAGGCTATCCTGTGTCCCAGGCCATCCTGCCTCCTGGGGTGGCCATATGCCACGTCCCAGGTCATCCTGTATCTTTGGGTAGCTGGATGATGTGTGTTGGGGGAACACCATGCTCCTGGAGTAGGATAGTGTGTCCTGGGTCATGCTGTGCACACTCGCTTCCTGGGTGGGTCTGTGCTGCCTTGCCTGGAGCCGATTATCCCTATGGATGCATCAGGGCCACAGCAGGGGACCAAGGTCACAGCAGGGACACCATCATTTCATGTCCTACTGACCCTGATGAAATCCTGTGGCTTTTGTCTGAGCCTTGCCCAGAGTGTTTTTTGCTCTGTGGTGAAGTTGGAAGCAAAGCTGGAGGGTGTGAGGAGCAACAGCCTGGGGAACCTCTTCCTTGTTTGTCCCTTGGGAAACTCATCTCAGCTGGAGCCTCTGACCTGTCTGACCCCATGACCCATCCAGCCCCATCCCAGCTTTCTGAGAAACCCCCCTTCCCGAGGGTTGGGGCTGGGGGAAGCGTTTGTCCCAGCCCTGCCCCGTTGCATGTGAGTAAGCAAACAGAGCAAGAGCAGCCGGGTCACACCGCCGTAGCCGTGTGGGAAAAGAGCTTGGGTTCCAGGTCTGTGCGGAGAGGATCTTCCTCTGGATCTCTGCCTGCATCGCTGGGAGCAGCTGCTCCTGCAGGGCGAGGGATGCAGCGGCGAGGGATGCAGGGATGAGGGATGCAGGGATGAGGGATGAAGGGGCAAGGGATATAGGGATGAGGGATGCTGGCAGTCCTGTGTCTCTGGGGATGGCTGGCCTGGAGATGACCCGAGGTGACAGAGGGAAATGGGAAGATGAGGGCCAAGCTTAGCATCTTCCTGTTGGCAAAGGCTGCGTCCTTCAAGGATCCCTGGAAGCTGGGCCAGGAGGTGACGGTGCTGTGGCTCTGCCCAGGGTTTCAGGGTGGACAACACTCATTGTTGGCCATCAGTGGGACATTCACCTCTCGATGCAGGAGCCCCCAGCCTCCTTCTTCATAAAGGAATAAAGAAGGGAATAAAGAGCATCTGAGCAGCCCAGGGAGGTGAGAGACTGGGACCACCCCACTGCCTGGCCTGGCCTCTGGGTCACCTGCTGCTCTGTGCAGCCAAACATTGTCACCTCCTTGGGGGCCACTAGAACCCCCTCCACTGCAGGGCCACCCTTCAGGCAGATTCCTTAATTGGACAAAACACTTTATAAAGCCGAATCAGATGGTAATTATGCGCCTTAAGGTCTTTAAGAGCCTCCTAATCCCAGCCGGCTCCGCCAGGGATGTGTGGGAAAGGCCTCTCACTGGGGCACCTGGGGGGTTAATTAAGCAATTAGATCACACTGGCTTTTATGAGGGGGGTTATTTGGGCTGCTGGGAGCATGGTGGGTTCCTCCATCCAAACCAACCCATGAAGACATCTTGGAAGAGGAGAGGGAAGGAAGGGTAGGGAAACGGGAAAGGGAAAGGGAAAGGGAAGAAGGATGGAGAGGGATGAAGGAAATCGTTTCCAGCCTTAAATCTATAGGTGGCCAGGTCATGGTGGAGGTGGGAGAGGAGCATCTCACGTGGCTTGGTCAAGAGAGGGGGATAAATGCATCAGACCACGCTTTTGCAAGGAGACGGGGACACCAAAAGTCTTCACGTCTCCTGCTCACGACTGCTGCAGAGGACCCCAGTGTCACCCAGGTCTTGCTCAGGGACAGAATCATCTCATGGAAAGGGGGCCTTGGCTGGTGAAGGTGAAGTCCATGTGGCATCTAAGTCATTGGGGCAGGTAGCCCACCCCTCCTTGTGGTGTTCAGCCAAGGTGCCAATTCCCACTGGTGCTCCCCATTCACAGCCAACCCCCAGGAAGCATCTCCAGGGGCGTCCTCACTTCACCCACCTAGGACCCCTGTCCTCTGCTTTTCTCTGTCTGCAGCAGGTTTCTCACCTCGCCCTCATGCAAATAGGTCACCCGGGGTTGGTTTCTAAATGGGAAGGGTTTGGGAAATCCCATGGGTTGATGGGATTTTGGTACCCACTAAGCTTGAATCATGGTGGCACCTGAAGATGCTGCCACCCGTGGATGGGGCACCTGGGCCAGGAGGTGGCAACCTGGCTGGGAAAGTCTCCCTTTTGTGAGCTTGGGACTGGGTTTGGGTTGGAGTTTCTTGCTACCTTCAGGCATTTAACAACCACTGGGGATCCTAAGAAGATTCAGTGGGGACAGGATGGGATGAAGAGCGGCGTCAGGAGGTGCTGAAGGAGGGATGCTGCAGGGATGGGATGGGAAGGGATAGGATGGGATGGAGTGCACTAGAAGGTGCTGGAGGAGGGATGCTGCAGGGATGGGATGGGATGGGATGGGATGAGATGGGATTAAGAGGGGTGTCAGAAAGTGCTGGTGTAGAGATGCTACAGGGATGGGATGAAAAGGGGTGTCAGGAAGTTCTGGAGGAGGGATGCTGTGGGGATGGGATGAAGGGGTGCATCTCGGTCACTCAGTGTGTCCCCACATCCCCATCCTCACTTGCTCACAGCTACCCCTTTGCTGTTCCCTCCATCTCCAGGGCAGGGAGCCAGCCCTGCCAGGCATAAGGAGGGAAGCAGCTGCCCTCTTGGAAAACTGCTGGAGCTGGGATTTCTGGGCTGAGCCCGTCACACCTGCACAAACAGCACTGGGGAGTGGGCCTGCCTTGCTTTATTATTGCACTTTTCATGGGGAACGGGAAGCAAATCTCCTCTGGCAGCTCCTGGGGGCAGCTGAGGGCCGGAGGAAGAAAACCAAACACCTTCTTGCTGTGGTTGTCCCATTGCGGAGGCGATCACGGGGGGCTGCCAGGGCAGGAGGTGCCAAAGTGCTGGCTCAGCAAAAAAGCCTCAGGACGGGAACACTTCAGTGCCCTTGCTGTGATAAGGGTACCTTTGCAGGGTGCTGAGGCTGGGTCCTGCCATCCAAACGAAGCAGTTTGACCCTTTGCTGAGGTGAAAACCAGGCGTGAGACCCTACAATAACAACGGGGCCATGCAGGGCGAGCTCTGTGGTGGGGGAAACTCCAGCTTCCCATTGGGAAAGGAGTCGGATTTCTCTCTGGAGCGTCCAAGAATTTATTCTAAACACCAGCAGGGAGGAAAAGCTGGTTTATAAATGATGGCAAATGTTCCTCCCATGAGTGGGACGGGGCCAGGGCTCTTTTCCATCACTTTTGTTAGGATTCATGGTTTTAAGGATAGGAGGGAAGCTTTTCCAAGCTCTCCTGGTTTCCCCCTAGTGTGTGCAGCCCCCCCCGGGTATTACATCAGCAGTGATGACCAAGCAAGCAGGGCAGGAAACGAGCTCCAATGGAGTGACGTGATCCCTCGAGGGAAGGCAGGCCAAGAAACAAGGAGGCATTGTTCTTTTAGCCCATGGAGAAAGAGGGAGAAAAGGGGAGGAAAAGGGGAAAAAAGGGGGAAAAGGGGAACTGGCTGGGTGTAAACAGAGGAGCTGGTGTGGCTGGAGTCCCCCGGTCCCTTGAAAGGGGATGGGGACATGGATAAGGATGGTGATGTGGAAGACGATCAGGGGTGAGGATGGGGATGCAAAAGGGGATGAGGATGGAGATGAGGAACAGGGGTGAGGATGAGAATGGGGATGGGGATGAGAATGGGGATGGAATGAGGAGTGAGGATGATGTTGGGGCTCGGGATGAAGATAAGGATGGGTAAGGTGAAGGAATGAGGATGGGGATGCAGAAGAGGATGAAGATGAGGGCTAGGATGGGGATGAGGATGATGATGGGGATGAGGGTGGGGACAGGGATGAGGATGGGGATGGAGAAGGTAATGAGGGTTGAGGACAAGGATGGGGGTGGGGATGAGGAGTGAGGATGGGAATGTAGATAGGGATGCAGATGAGGACAAGGATGGGAGTGGAGACGAGTGAGGATGAGGATGAGACAGGCTGGCAAGCTTGCAGGAAGCTAATGCTAAGCAGAGGTTGCTGTGGAGCAGGGCTTGGCTTTGCAGAGGGCTGTGAGGAGGGAAACTGAGGCACAGAGCACCTGGAGCATCCTCTTCCTCCATCCCGGTCCTTCTTGAGGGGCTGATTCCAGATGCTTTCCAGGTCGGAGGCTGTGGAGGAGCCTTCGGGGGTGTGCAAGGGAGTTGCTGGTCTCTGTAATGCTTTTGGAAAGGGAGGCAGCCCTTGCCTGTCCCCGTGGCTGTGTCTGTGTGTCTGCAGCTCACTTTGGGAGGTTCCTTTGGGAATTACAGGAAAGGAGGGATAATGGTGCAGGAAGGGGGGATGGGGGCTGGGGTTTAGCAGAGCCCCCCCTTTCACCTCAATTTTGGGGTGAAATCCAGGAAACATGGCAGGAAATAGGGACTCCACATTTTGGGGGCCGCCGTGGCCCTGCTGCCACAGGGGTGGGAGCTGGGGGGCTCGGGGCCACCCCAATAACCCTTTGCAGGGCAGACAGGGCTGGGTGGAATCGCTTCCAGGAGGTTGCGGGTTGAGCAATCCCGTTGCAGGAAAATGGAGGATTGGGATTTGCC